AGTTTCTTTGGCTGTGCAGAAGCTTTTTAATTTGATCAGGTCCCATTTATTTATTTTTGTTGTAGTTGTGATTGCCTTTGGGGTCTTCTTCATAAATTTTTTGCCTAGGCCAATGTCTAGGAGAGTCTTTCCAACGTTTTCCTCTAGAATTCTAATAGTTTCACACCTTAGGTTTAAGTCTGTTACCCAGTGTGAGTTGATTTTTGTGAGAGGTCAAAGTGTGGATCCTGATTCAGTCTTCTACATGTGGCTATCCAGTTTTCCCAGCACCACTTTATTGAATAAGGATTCTTTTCCCCAGTGTATGTCTTTGTCTGCTTTGTCAAAGATTAGATGGCTATATAAGGATGGTTTTATATCTGGGTTCTCAGTTCTGTTCCACTGGTCAATGATTAGAGATGATGTCTGTTCTTGTGCTAGTACCAAGCTGATTTAATTACTACAGCCTTGTAGTATAGTTTGACGTCTGGTAAATTGATACTTCCCATTTTATTTTTATTGTCTAGAATTGCTTTTGCTATACGGGGTCTTCTCTGGTTCCATATGAAGCGTAAAATTAATTTTTCTATATCTGTGAAAAATGGTGTTGGTATTTTAATAGGGATTGTATTGAATCTGTAAATCACTTTGGGTAGTATAGACATTTTAACAATGTTGATCATCAGAGACTATTATGAACAACTAAATATGAACAAACTAGAAAACCTAGAGGAAATAAATAAATTCCTGTACCTACCAAGATTGAATAAGTAAGAATTATTAATAGAAAACCTGAACAGACCAATAACGAGTAATGAGATTGAATCAGCAATGAAAAGTCTCCCAAAAAAGAAAAGTCCAGAACCAGATGGCTTCACTGCCAAATTCTACCAAACTTTCAAAGAACTAACACTAATTCTCCTTAAACTATTCCAAGAAATTGAAGCAGAGGGAATTCTCTCTAACTCATGCTATGAGGTCTACATTACCCTGATACCAAAACCATGCAAGGACACAACAAAAAAAGAACACTATAGACCAAAATCCCTGATGAACAGAGATACAAAAATTGTCAACAAAATACTAGCAAACTGAATCCAATAGCACATCAAAAAAATAATGCACCATGATCAAGTGGGATTTATTCCAGGCATGCAAAGATGGTTCAACATATGCAAATCAATAAACATGACACATCACATCAACAAAATGAAGGACAAAACTATTAATATACGATTATCTCAACAGACACAGAAAAAGCATTTGATAAAATTCCACATCCCTCATGATTAAAACTCTCAGCAACGAGGCATAGTAGGAACATACCTCAACATAATAAAGACCATATATGACAAACCCACAGCTAACATCACACTGAATGGGGAAAAGCAAAAAGCATTTCCCCTAAGAACTGGAACAAGCCAAGAATGCCCACTTTTACCATTCTTATTAGACACAGTACTAGAAGTCCTAGCCAGAGCATTAAAAGCAAGAGAAAGAAATAAAAGGCATTCAAATTAGGAGAGAAAAAGTCAAATTGTTCCTCTTTGCTGATGATATGATTTTTATCTAGAAACCTAAAGAATCCACCAAAAAACTCTTAGATGCGATATATAAATTCAATAAAGTTGTAGGATACAAAACCAACACAGAAAAATCAATGGCATTTCTATACACCAATGAGGAACTCGCTGAGAAAGAAATCAAAAAAGTAATTCCATTTATAATAGCTAGAAAAAATTAAAATATCTAGGAAAAAATTTAACCAAGGAGGTGAAAGATCTCTACAAGAAAAACTATGAAACACTGATGAAAGAAATTGAAGAGGACACAAATGGAAAGGCATCCCATGCTCATGGATTGGAAGAATTAATATTGTTAAAATGACCATGCTGCCCAAAACAATCTAAAGATTCAATGCAATTTCTATCAAAATACCAATATCCTTTTTCACAGAAATAAAAAAAAAAATTCTAAAATTTGTATAGAACCAAGAGCAAGTCCAAATAGCCAAAGCAATTCTGAGCAAAAAGAACAAAGATGGAGTCATCACACTATCTGATTCAAAATATTAATATATTACAAGGCTACGGCAACCACAATAGCATGGTATTGGTATAAAAACAAACCAGTGGAACAGAATAGAGAATCCAGAAATAAATCCACATAGTTACAGCCAACTGATTTTTGACAAAGGTGCCAAGAACTGATGAAAGGACACCCTCTTTAATAAATGGTGCTGGGAAAATTGGATATTCTTATACAGAAGAATAAAACTGAATCCCTCTCACCATACACAAGAATCAACTCCAGATGGATTAAAAACTTAAACATGAGACCTGAAACTATAAAACTACTAGAAGAAAACATGGGGAAAACGCTTTAGGACATTGGTCTAGGCAAAGATTTTATGGCTAAGACCCCAAAACCACAGGCAATAAAAATAAAAATAGACAAATGGGAGTATATTAAACTAAAAAGCTTCTGCACAGCAAAGGGAGCCATCAACGGAGTGAAGAGACAATCTGCTAAATGGGAGAAAATATGTGCAAACTATTCATCCAAGGGACTAATATCCAGAATATACAAGAAAGTCAACTCAACAGTAAAACAAACAAACAAACAAACAAACAAACAAATAAATCCATTAAAAAATGGGCAAAGCAGTGAGATTGGCCTCTATCAAAAAAATCCCAAAACAACAAATGCTGGCGAGATGTGGAGAGACAGGAACACTCTTACACAGCTGGTGGGACTGCAAATTAGTGCAACCTCTGTGGAAAGGAATTTGGAGACACCTCAATGACCTAACAATAGAAATACTATTTGATCCAGCAATAGCACTATTAGGCATCTACCCAAAAGAGCAAAAGACATTCTATAATAAAGACATCTGCACCTGAATGTTTATGGCAGCACAATTGACTATTGCAAGAATGTGGAAACGACCCAAGTGCCCGTCAATTCATGAGTGGATTATTAAAATTTGGTATATGTATACGATGGAATATTACTCAATTATAAGAAATGACGGTGATCTAGCACCTCTTATATTCTCCTGGACAGAGCTTAAGCCCATCCTCTGAAGTGAGGTATCACAAGAACAGAAGAATAGGCTCCACATGTACTTGCCATCATAATTGGCACTAACTGATCAACACTATGGTGCTCACACAATAGTAATATTCTCCAGGGATTAGGGGGTTTGGTGGGGGTAAACTCACAACTAATGGATGTGGTGAGCATTGTAGTGGGGAAGAGCATGCCTCTAATCCTCGCTTGGGTGAGGCAAAGTCATAAAATGTAACCAAAATGTTTGTACCCTCATAATATCCTGAAATAAAAAAAATAATAAAAACAATTAAAATAAAAAAAATAGGCAAAGGATGTAAGTAGACATTTCACAAAAGGAGACATACAGATGGCCAACAAGTATATGAAGAAATGCTCAATATAAGTAACATCAGAGAAAAGCAAATAAAAACCTCATGAGATATCGTCTTACCCCAGTTAGAGTGGCTATTATTAAAAGCCAAAAATAATAGATGCTGGTGAGGATGTGAAGAAAAAGGAACTCTCTTATATACACTCTTGGTGGGAATGTAAATTAGTACGGCTTCTATGGAAAATAGTATGGATATTTCTTTTTTTGTGTGAGTCAGAGTCTCTCTCTGTTGCCCTGGGAAGAGTGTAATGGCATCACTGTACCTCCATGGCATGCACCATGACACCTGGCTAATTTTTCCATCTTTAGTAGAGACAGAGTCTCACTCTTGCTCAGGCTGGTCTCAGACTCCTGAGCTCAAACAGCCCTCCTGCCTCAGCCTCGCAGAGTGCTAGGATTGTAAGTGTGAGCCACCGTGCCTGGCCTGGAGATTTCTTAAAAAACTAAAAATTGAACTATCATAGGATCCAGCAATCCACTACTGGGTATTTATCCAAAGGAAAAGAAATTGTTATATCAAAGGGATTCCTGCACCCCCATGTTTACTGCAGCATTGTTTACAACAGCAAAGATATGGAATCAGCCTACATGTCCATCAACAGACAAATGGATAAAGAAAATGTGGTATACACTCACAATGGAATACTATTCGACCATAAAAAAAAAGGAAATCATGTCATTTGCAGCAACATGGATGGAACTGGAGGTCGTTATGTTAAGTAAAATATGCCAGACACAGAAAGACAAATTTTGCATGTTCTCACTCATATGTGGAAACTAAAAAGGTTGATCTCATGGAGGTAGAGAGTAGAATGATAGAAGTAAGAGGCTGGGAAAGGTGTTGGGGGGACTGCAGGGAAATAAAAAGAGGTTGGGCAGTAGGTTTGATCATGCAGTTAGAAAGTGTAAGTTCTAATGGCCAACAGTGTATTGTACATTTCCAAGTGGCTAGAAGAGAGAACTGGAAGTATTCCCAACACATGGAAATGATAAATACTCGAAGTGATGGATATTCCAAATACCCTGACTTGATCATTACACATTCTGTGCATGTAATAAAATATCACATGTAGCCCTCATAAATATGTAGAATATTATGTAGCAATAACAAAATTAAAAAAGAAACAGAGTGCCTTATTTTCAAGACTGATGTAAATATTCATCAAGTTCACAAACACTTTCTGATGTCTACTCTGTGCCAGGCAGGCACTTTTCTAGGTGCTACGGATACAGCAGATAACCAAACAGATAAAAATCCATCCCTTCATGAGGCTTACATTTGTGTGCTACAGTTGTCTTTTAAATTTTAAAGTGGCAAGAACTCACTTATAAAAATTCCTATTTAATATTCACAAAACTATTGATGAGAAAACTATAAAAGATACTCACGTCCTAGTATAATGGTTTAGACCTTGATCTCCTCAATTAAACTGAGAATTTTAATCCTGGCCCTACTACTTACCAGTTATGTGTCTCTCAACCTTTCTGTGAGTAATTGTGGCAATGACAGTTTTTACATCACAGTGTTGTGAGATTAAATAAAATAATCCATGCACCTGGGACATAGCGAGTACTCAGTAAATGTTAAATTATACTTTAGTTAATTTAAAGTATAATTAAAGTTAAAAGTTGTACTTCTCAAGTAGAAACATTCCATTTTCCTTGAATATCTGAGATTTTTGTCAGTATCCAAAATCTTTGCATATTCAGCCAGTGAGTATCTTGGTTTAATTAAATAACTTTGTATTTGTTAAAAAAACCCCCCAGATTTAAACTAATACTCCCATCTGCAATACCACATTGGCAAAAATGTATCAATATATTAATATGATCTTAGAATAGAGGCCCAAAGTTTATTTCTTTTTTAATAGTGGTATTATTTCTGGATCCTTTTGACCCTACATGGCCTTCCACCATGAGATCCTGGATCACACCCATTTGGTTAAACAAAATAACCTGCAAAACTACATACAAAGTCCACTTCGTCTCTTTGTTTCTTTTTTAACTTTTCAGAGCAGGAACAGGTTTGCATACCTCCATAGAAGATCTTTCTTCTGACGGTTAATAACACATGGCCATTTCGAGCAGCAGTCGTCATTAGGTCCAAGACTTGTTTGTGTGATTTTCCTTTAACAGGAATTCCATCAATGCACATTAGTTCATCAGCTGCTCGGAGCCGACCATCTTTCTCAGCTGCTCCAAGAGGAATAATGGCTCCAATATATATCTGGTAAGATAACAAAGTGTAAGGTGGTCTATAGTCCACAATGCACTTGAAGAGTAAAGGACTTCCTGACTCAGCATGGTGCAAACCAACAGGTTTTTACAGTTCAATTATGAAAACAGCCATATTTTAGAAAGGTGTTATCTTAGAAAATGCCCATCCTCCAAAATGGCACCTCAAATAACCACATTGTATTATGTAATCCCTTGTAGATTCCCAGGATTATGTCCAAAGAAGACAGAAAATACAAAGTTGTTGAATAATTCAAAAAGTACCACCATCATCTCCATCACTACCAGGAAACAAAATGTTAAAACTCCGAAAATACAATTCTTGGCCTAGCACATTGGCTCATGCCTGCAATCCTAGCACTCTGGGAGGCCGAGGCAGGAAGATCGCTTGAGGTCAGGAGTTTGAGACCAGCCTGAGCAAGAGCGAGATCCTGTCTCTACCAAAAATAGAAAAAACTAGCCAGGCATGGTGGTGTGCGCTTGTAGTCGGGAGGCTGAGAGGCAGGAGGATGGCTTGAACTTAGGAGTTTGAGGTTGCTGTGAGCTAGGCTGATGCCATGGCACTCTAGCCTGGGTAAGAATGAGACTTGGTCTCAAAAAAAAAAAAAAAAAAAAAAAAAGGAAAAGAAAAAGAAAATGCAATTCTGTGGAATAGCTACTAAAAATAGAAAAAAACCTGTTCAATGCCCCTGGCAAGATTTTCTACACACTGTTTATAGCAACTGGGATCATTCTCACAATACTCCCATCACATATGGCTAACAGTACAAGTTCGGTATATACAACTGAGAAACAATTTGTTGCTAAATCTCAAGGGGAACAGAGTGGACTAAGGTTCACTTGAATCTAGGTGAACAAATCTGATTCATTTTGCTCACCAGCAATTAGAATCCAACAATCCTGAATGTTTGGCTAGTTTCAAAGCAGCTAGAATCTGACGTTTAAGAGGAAAAAAAAGTTTTTTCCCAATTGTTCAAGATAAATTCTTAAAGTGTCTAAGTGAACGCTATGAATATCAACAAAATAGGAAGCAATAAAAAGACATACATATACCATCAAGAAGAAAGTATCTTATATTTGCCCTGTATAGGGCAACCTCCCTTAAGCTTCATGGGTCTCTAATGATAGTTGTAATTGCAACCAAACAAATGTCTTATTCAGAAATAGAAAGAAGCTTGTCATTTTAAAGATTATTGTTTTTCACCTAACTTCTAAGCATAACAATATGGTCCCTTTTGATATTATACCAAAAAAAAAAAGTAAATACGTTCTTCAATTCTATAGAGCTCATTACTTTGTTATTCAAACCAAGGGACAAAACTTAAAAACAAAACCTACTACATTTGTTCTCTAACTATATGTGAGAGTCACGTGTAAATGTAAGTCTACACTTTAAATTCCATAACCCCTATGCCTTCTAGATAGAAATATTAACTATTTTATATTCTTCTGGTTTCCTAGGTAATGGATGAAATGACATGCAAAGTACCAAGCATGAAAATGCCAACCCATTAATAAGATTAGGTGAAATAATATGCACAGGCTCATGCTAACTATTTACGGAAAATTCAGAAGATGAGTGATTGTGGGAAAGAAGACATAGAATTATAGGTTTCTTAGAGAGGGAAAATGTCTAAGACTCTGTTTAATGAAGGCAAAGGGAAATAAAAACTTAAAATAAGCTCTATTTATTTACACAGAGAAGTAAATAAATTAATCACTGTCCAATCTGCAGCTGACATACTCAGTTTTTACCTACAGTTTTCAGACTCAGCTGTACCATGTTAACTGAGGGACTATGATACTAATAAAAATGCAGTTCTTCTTGATATTCATGAAACTGTTAGAGAAAAAAAAAACTTAAAACACCAAACCAAACACACCATATTCCACCACATCACCACTACAAAGTTTGAACAGGCGCAGCCACATTGCGAGGAACTGACACTTACAGACTGGTCAGGTCCGTCTCCTCCTAGCACCCTGAAGCCAAACCCTGACTCTTGTTTCCGAAGAAAAACATCCAAATCTTTGGTGTTTGGCGCTAAGGAAAACCAGAAAATATAAAATAAATATTTTAAAAGGATTAAAACAAAACAAAGTTCAATATATAATAGAATAGTATTACAGAGGAACAAACTATAATCTCAGAACTTTTTGATATGTGAAAATTTATACAAGAGCATAACACATACACACAAAAATTCAAGTATAAATCCTTATTTTGAGCTCTAAACAAAACTGGAATAAGATTGTTTAGGAATATTTACTCCCACTTCCATGCACTCAGTGTTCTACTACTGTTAACTTCTAATGCTGTCCAATCAATATTACAACATTAAATTTAGAATTATACAGTTTGAGTTTGATATTTGATGGGCACAAATGATCTAAGTTAACACTTGAGTAAGGTACTTTAAATCCTAGGAAAAGAGAGCCCATGAAATACCTTCTTTCTACTCTCATGCTAATACCTTTGTCTCAGAAAAATATTACATATGAATTACTTACCTAGCCTAATTTTGCAAAACGATAGCATTTTAAAGGAAAATAAAAAAACAGCTAACACCTATTATTAGCCCCATTTTCTAGGTGGGGAAACTGAAGCCTAAATAACTTGCCCAGTGTCACACAGCAAGTAAGTGGCAGAGCTGAGATTTTAACCCAGCTTGATTTCCAGGGTCCAGACTATTAACCCACACTATCCTGCCCCCGAAGGGCAGGTTGAATTCCTTAGAATATTAAGTCAGGAAAATCTATTTCCTAAGATTTTTATCTCTGGGAAAATAATAATGTTACTTACAAGTAAGAAGTATTTACTAATAAAAGAGATAAACATATCAGGGAAATATATAAAATGTGAGATATGGTATGGTGTAAATTCCTGATAATATTCTTTAGAAGCAATATCTTTTGATAAATATTTCTTATTAAAATCATAGAACTTCAGAGATTAAAAGAGTCATGAGTCCAACTCACTTATTTTATGGGTGAAGCCCAATGGGACTGCAGAGTTTATACCAATATTAAGAAAGTACCAGGCTTGGAATGGCAACCCATTCTACACAGTTACACTAATTCAAACTATTACTTTGCTGTTGCTTACACTCGGTTTTCATCTTTTTAAATATGGCCTGGGAATATCAAGATAAAGTTCTGCAACTAGTTAAATAAACATGAAGTCAATTACATATAATATTTCCACTTGTATGTATCTTTTCCAAGGTAGATTTAGCTATTTCTTAAAACAAATTTTAAAAAATTAAACCCACTTAACTCTGCAATTTTACTTTGGAATAGATTTCTCATTAGTAAGTAAATTAGTACAAACATGAATTTCTGCCTCATGCCTTCTCTCTTCTCATCTCTCAGATGGACTCCTTTAACGGGTCGACTCTTTGGTTTCCTCCTCAAATTGCACACACTTCCTCAAATTTCATAAACCTCTGATTCATCTTCCATTCCCCTACCAGAAAAATCTTTCTAAAATACAAGCCCCAATATATCTTTCCCATACTTTAAACCATTCCATGGCTCTCTCTTATTTATATGACCAAGTCTAGCTTCCCCAGAGGGGCATAACTGACCCTCTACAATCTGCTCCTGCTCTCATCTCTGACTTCCTTGCCAATTACATCCAGCCAAAGTGAACTATTAATACTTGTAGAACCTGGGCCATGCAAGGCCAATGAGAAAATGCTATTCCTTCTGTCTTTACCTTTTATCTTCCTCATAAACACCTCTGCATCTCTGAAGATTTGGTTTAAACTTTACTCCCAGTATGAAGGCTTACTTGACACTTCCTACTATCCACATTGATAAAACTGACTCTTTCCTACTTTGGATCCCAATTTATCCAGTTCATCTGTCTATTACTGCACCTATTAGGCCTATGTACACTTATTTGTATACTTATTTGATTACATACTTGTCTTTTCCATTTAGGTTTAATAATATTTTTGGGTGCAGGGCCTGTGTAACCTATTTATCTCTGTATTCCAATTACCTAATATGGCATCTGTCAGATAGCTGGCACTTAATACATGGTTTTGAAAAAAATGAGTAAGTGAATGTTGAATGTACATGGAAGAAGCCAGAGTTATATTAAAATAGGAATGAAGGAATAACTTTTAAAAGATGGGAGGGTCCCAGTTTAAAAAAAAATCCAAATTTATCTTGTTACATGCTCTCCTGCAATATTCCACAACTACTTACGTTTATCTTCATATAAAGTCTTAGATTTCAGGTAGACCTCAGAAGGATCCAATTTCGGGGATCCTGACCTGATAATGCTGGGTGGAAAAGGCATAGGCTGGGGAATGGGCTCATTTATGGCCTCCAAACTTCCTGAATTTTCCTTTTTATCTGTTTTCTGAAATGGAAAAGGGCCTTACTTAGTATTTTTAAAAGTCAGATGGTTGATTTATAAAACTGTTGTCTGAACTAGATATGTCAACTGATTACAGTTGTGTAGTGGCAGGGTCAAAGCCATAGCACATTTGTGGTCTTATGGGAATTCACTTTCATAGCCATATGCATTTGGTTAAATGTATTTAAATTAGAAAAAGTTTATAATGATATCAACTGAAGGACCTCAATTAGTCCTATATTTAAGCAATCTTGTTCTTTTCTCTACCCCCAAGACACAAATTGACTCTGAGATGATGACAAATAGGAATACAGCACAAGGCAGTACTTCTAAGTAAAGCAAGAGGGAGACTCAGAGAATACTTTCATTAAATTCTTGATAAGCCCCACCTCCTTCTCACTGAGTTTAATTTTCAGTGAAGATGTTTAAAATAATATTCTTTCTCAAAAAAGGGATAGGAAGTGTTAACTCTAATTTAGATTAAAAAGATGACACTGTGAAAACCCTGCCTGGCCAATTCACATATATTAAGAAAAAATGTACCATGCCAGGCAATCAGATAAAGAAAAGAGTAGCATATTTTGATATTTTTCCTATTCAGATAGAATGTTCCCAAAATAAAAGCCAAGCAAAATGATTTCTTTAATAAAATTTTATGAAAAATGAAATCCAATAAGTAGCCTAAGAAATATGGTTTTGAGACCAGCTTTTTATCCTGAATGATCGTTACGAGAGGGAGATTATAGATGTTTGTGATAATTAATGCTGACTAGAATGCGGGGGCACCAGCTTGTCAGGGAGTAATGAGGGGTCAGTCGCTACAGAATGTTGTGCCACAGGGAACCTTTCACTGACCCAGACCCAGTCAGATGGCAGGAAAGGTAAGAACAGTCTCCTCCCCTTCCCCCACATGTCCTAGTATTCTGTCAGAAGCAGGTAAAGTTATTAGAGCCTTCCCTTAATTATAAAGCACTGGGGTCACTGTGGCTGCAGTGGCATCCATTATGAAACAGATATGCTGGCATAGGAGTTAAAAATGATTACTAGAGGAATCAGAGAGATGTAGAAAAATACAGTGCAATTTTAACTAAATGGACAAGAAGAATTTCTGTTCACACTGGATCTAAGTAGTATAAACAGTTGATAAAAAGGGCAGAGGCTGAGTGTTTCTTTCCTTTTGATCTATAAAACAGCAAATTTGGGAAAGATTCCTACTTGGTGGTCTAGAAACAATTAATCTATTTAATATGTGATGGTCTTTCCTTTAATAGTCTATGGCTTATGGTTATAGAAGACCATCTTTCAATTTTGAGATGAAACACTCCAAGCAAACTAGAAGTAAATTAGGATTTTAAATTATAATTATCTTTATATTCATATCCACATAATTGTGGATATTTAAGCAGACACAAATGTGCACCCAGTACAATTTCTTCCGCAAAAGCACTAGTCGGTGTGTCCTTATTTTAGCTCTTACTCTCTAAACAGGTACTTAAATAGGCTACTCAGTTATTCAGAAGAATGGCAAAGATGACACTGTTTCAAGCCTTGACAACCTTTCACTTTGAAAACAAGCAAAGTTAGCAAAGAAGGCCAAAATTACTGTAGAAAGTCTTGTTTAATCCTAAATGTAAGAAGGCTATCTATGTGTGGGTATTTATAGTCCCCATGAAATTATGTGAAGTTACCATGTCTTCCCTTCGAGCACCAGCAAGAAGATGTAACAGTTTATCATCTGTCCTAACATTTAGGTTCTTCTTACTTTGCTCCTTGGAAACACAAAGAAAGTAAAAGGACCCCTACCTATGTTCTTCAATGTGGCCACAATCTACTACTTAGAGAACAAGACTATTGGTAGTATGGGCCTCCAGTATTCCTCCAATAGCAATCCTTAACCAGGAGAGCACACCCCCTCACTAGGAGGCTTTTTCTAAATGCTTCCTTAGAGTTTCTGATACAAGCCCAGGGCAGCCTGCCTCCTGACTTCTCCCAGTCAATAATCACCACCATGGTGAGCTGTTCTTACGGAGGGGAACATGGCATCTCTCTCAGTGTGCTGGAAAGAAGCATCTGAGGACCAGTATATACTCACCATTTTGGCAGTTTTGGTTGGTGAAGGAGGACCTTTAAAAAAAAAAAAAAAAAATGGGCCAAATTTTAAAAACAGAGGAAGCATTCCCAGATCGCAAATACTGCTAATGTTTGTGATAAAATTAGCTTCAACTTTTAGTACGCTAGTAAATTCTATCTATGTCTAATACCTCCTATGCCAGGCATTATACATATATTCTCTCATTTCATTTTTATGACAATCGTAAGACATAAATGATATGACCATTTTACAGATAATGTAAACTAACATTCTTCCGTATATCATATAACCAATAAATGGTAAGGTAGAAAACTGACATCAAATCTCTGTGACATCAAACTCTGGTCTCTCTGTTATTTTTGCTGAAGCCCTAAATAACTCTCAAGCACTCACATAAAGATTTTCACCTCACTCTAAACACACTCTACCATCACCCAAAGAAGAAACCAATATGGTTCAAAGAAAGGAGAAGAAAAAGCTCCCTGAAGAAGTTAAAGTGCTCATTTGACTAAAAAATATAAACAAAAAGCCAGAGAGATAAAAGAATCAAAAGCTCAATTTTATTCTTTAAAATACTAGTCATTCATAGGTATGGATTTAAGAAAGCCTATTAAAGTGAAACTTTGTGATCAGTCTTTGGAACTGGATTTATAATGTCTGGAAGCAGTTCATGTCAGCTGACGACCTTGAAAAATAAAAATTATGTTTCTTTCAGATAAGCTCTGTGGGGTTTAATTAACAATTTACAGGCAAATACTAGAGCTTAAGATAAAAGCTTTATGAGCATAAGCTATCATGATTGCCTTTGCAGAACAGATTACTATACCATCCAACATTTTACTTATCCACAGAGATGCCAGCTCTTTCAAAACATCTTTGGTGCATTACAGAGGTCCAGATGAAGCACCACTGGTTGAAAGAGTCAATTTCTATTATTGCCATTAACAGAGAAAATGAAATTAAGAGAATATATTTCATCTGAAGTAGCACAATGATATGACTCTCTCTAATCATTAAAGCCATAAATCAGATTTTACAAAGAATACAGAGGAAAAGAAATCCTTAATGGACATAAATGAAACCACTAATAACTAAATAAACTTCTGAAAAAGATATCACTTATGGAAACAATCAGACAGAACCTTAAGGAAATGCACCCTAATTACCAGTTAAGTCTGCTGGGAAAAGACATTCTGATCTGTAAGGAAGGATAATCAACAGATATAAATGTTTGAACACTGAAGCTTTTCCCTTGTTGTGCTTTTACTCACCTCCTCTTAAGATAAGCAACGGTACATCTGCACCTACTGGAAACTGCTTTAGCACCTCTACCACTTGGAGATGTGTTAAATTCTGCACATTTTGATGGTAAATTTCCTTAATTATATCCCCTTTCTGAAGGCCTTGACACCACTGGCTATCCAATATCATTTTCACCTTCTGTCCAGTAGGGCTGTCAGCAATTGCAAAACCAAAGCCTTTGGGGCCCTTAATCAAAGGGATAGTCACTAGTTCAGGCTGGGAACTGCCTGATGATGCCATGGATGCTCTCTGTTCGCTTAGATCTGATGGTCCATTGAGACGATCACTGGTCAAGGTGTGTCCTGATTTTCCATTCTGGTCTAGAACCATTGCTCCTGGCTTAAAATCCTGATTATTTATGCAAGTCTCTCCCTTGGTTAATGACTGTCCGTTGATGACAGGGGTAGCAGCAACAATGTCCACAACAGGATCTTCACTGTCATCAGGAAGTGGATAACCACGACATAAAGTGAGGTTTACATACTGATTGACAGGTACCAGTTGAAACATCTGGACAACATCTGCATGGGTGTGACCAAGGACACAGTTGCCATTGATGTCTACAATAACATCACCTGGTAAAACACAATCATGATAAAAATATTAAAACCACCAAATAAAGTTAATTTTTTGCTGGAGGAGAGGCAAAAATAACTTAAATTTAACAACTAAATTTGGATTCTGTAAGCCTCTTACTGTCCATTAACTGCTGAAAGGATAGATTTCTTTTTTTTTTTGAGACAGAGTCTTGCTCTGCTGCCCAGGCTAGAGTGCCCTGGTGTCAGGGTAGCTCACTGCAACCTCAAACTCCTGGGCTCAAGGTCCTCTTGCCTCAGCCTCCCAGGTAGCTGGGACTACAGGCGAGCACCACCATGCCCGGCTAACTTCTTCTATTTTTAGCAGAGACGGCGTCTTGCTCTTGCTTAGGCTGGTCTTGAACTTCTGACCTCAAGTGATTCTCCCACCTTGACCTCCCAGAGTGCTAGGATTACAGGCGTGAGCCTGTAATGTCTAACACAGACATTCTCCCTTTTATGACTCCTCTCTAAAAAGTATATGTAATATCTAAAATCTTAATTATTTTAGCAGCAAAGGGTTTTGACTTCAAGTATATCATTAAAACAAACCCTGAAAATTCATATAATCATTGTTAGTATACCTTCTAAGTCATATCAAAGTAGCCATATAAAGCTAGGCACATTATAGTAAGTATTTAGTACATAGAAGAGTGGCGAATAACTCGATTGGCTACTTGTACAAACAGGCTATCTTTAAATGCCACTTTATTTCTTGAGTTTAAGAAGCCATTGATTACAATGTACTTAAAAATTTATTCTAGTTTGAGAAATGTAGAGCTAAGATTAGAATGATGTTAGCTTATGAATGTATTTTCTTTCAGTATTGTTTTTGTAGAGATTCTGAATTTATTAATATTATAAATCAGATTTCAAAAGGTGAAACAAGCAACAAAAAAATCAATACAAGCAAAGGATGTATTATTTAAGACATTGAAAAGTCAGCAAAATTAATCTTTATAAAAGTTGGTTTTGCTTTCCTGATTTTACATTAGTGTATCTTATTTATTTTATTTTATTTTATTTTATTTTTTTCAGACTGGGTCTCACTCTTTAGCCCAGGCTACAGTGCAAAGGTGTCATCATAGCTCACTGTAATCTCAAATTCCTGGGCTCAAGTGATTCTCCTGCCTCAGCCTCCTGAGTAGCTGGTACTACAAGTGTGCACCACCATGCCCAGCTAATTTTTCTAATTTTTTGTAGAGACAGAGTCCCGCTCCTGCTCAGGCTAGTCTTGAACTCCCAAGCAATCCTCCTGCCTCAGCCTCCCAGAGTGCTAGGATTAGAGGTGTGAGCCGCTGCACCCAGCCTAATTTGGTTTCAGAATCATTATCACTTGACATTCATCAGTTGGGTATTTTTTAATACAGACTTGACTTAAAATTTGGCCTCTGTTGTCCCATTCATTTGCTTTTATTTGAATATGATTATTTAAAAGGTTATTGCCAAGTAAAGGGTAAAAATGCTTTAATTTGTTCTGATGGCTTTAAAAAAAATCAACCTGAATAGTATTAAAATCAATTGTTAGTCTGTGAAGTTTGTTTCATAATCTAAGATATAGAAATTAGACTAATTAGAAACAAAGTTTTGACTTTTCCACCTCTGGTGAAAACTCCTAGGATTTTCATGGGAGTATTATATTGCTATGCAAATTAGATAATAACAGTTTTAGGCAAATCTGAAACTATATTATGAAATCCTGACAGCATATATGATAGCTAAGAGATGTATTTCATAGACAAAATGTTGAAAAGGTCAAAACTGAAAACAAAAAAACCTTACTATTAATTCTAATCTCTACAGTTTGTTACTTTTATAAAGTAATAAAGTAGAATTAAAATAATTTTCTTTATAAATATAACTCTTGATGATTTTAAGTTTTCTTGTTGTTTCTATCACCTTAATAGGATAGCATAATATGAGAGATTCCATATCCTCATTGAAAATAACTTGATGTTTGTCATCAAAAAGTACTATGACAATTCTACCATGCAAATGTGGGCCCATATTTACATGGTATGCGAAATAACAGAGGATTAGAAATGTCTAGCAAACACTGCAAGAAGCAACCTCAGTATAATTCTAAAATTCTTCTGGAAAAAAGTGCTTAAACCTCCCCTGTAATCAGTAACTTGTCTTGAACCTCCTCTAAGCTCCTCAGCCACAAACACTGCCAGCCGTATTAAAATATCCAACAACTACGAAGAAAATACTTCGGGAAAACTATATAAAGGACAACTTAAGTTTATACAGCTTTGTCAAAATGGTAATGTTTGTGTCTATAATTCTTAACATAGGAGTTAAATTTTACTAATGACTAGTAAGATTAAGGAAGCATAAACACTTGGGGAAAAACTGTGGGATATAACAATTTGTTTGATATAACTATAAATACTACACTGGAGCATTTTTCAAATATGATTATAGGTAAATCTTAGCTCCAAAAGCATCCTACAGAATCAAAGAAAATCAAACAACCAAACAGTTTTCTAAGATGGTTAATAAATCTTTAATTTTATATAGCCAAGGATATATATCTTAAAATTATATAAAGTATTCCAAAATATTAATAAATTTGTTTTCTCTAATAGTTTCCACATATTTATAAAATGGTCCTTCTTCAAAGCTAATACGCATTTAGAGGATAAGCTATTTTAATATAAGAATCACACTCTTCAATTATATAAATTTTCTTTCTAATATATATATATATGTAAATAAAGTGTCTTCACTATAATTTTTGTTATAGTATCACTACTCTTTAAGAAATTCTGAAAAATTTGTTACCTGGTGCAATTTTCCCATCCTGAGCTGCAGGACCATCTTTCAGCACATTTTTCACTTGTAGGAACTCATCAGGCCTATCTCCACCAATAATGGTAAAACCAAAACCCATTGTGCTTTTTTTCAGTGATGCCCGCACAAGGACACCTTTAAGTTGGGATGGATCTCGTGTAAAGTGTGACTTTTCCACATCTGTGCCAAAATGAGAAGCGAGTTAGAGAACAAAAATAATTACAATGCAAATAGCCCTTACACCAATCTTCAAGACAGTCTATGTAATTTAAACATAAGAGAAACCATAAAGTAAAGAAAATTAGAAAGAATCCAATGTTGTAGAACAGTTAGAATTTGAACTCATAAATCACTGAAAAAAAACTTAGCTAATGAATCATTTATCTTTTATAGTACTCTTTCATGTTATTTGAAAAGTAAAAACACCTGCTTCATCTCCTCCTGATTGTATTGTTTGTACTTACTTTCTCTCCACCCAGACTCCATTATATGAAGTCAAAACCTTTAGTATAAATTCCTGAAAGTTTTGGACACTCATTCACAGTTGTACTTTTCATTTGAATAAGCATCCACTAAGCTCTGTATGGAAAGCACTATACTAGGAAGATGAAGTCCAGTGTCACTTACTTATGAAAGAGATTATATTGAGAATTTGTATAATTTACAACTCAGGCTTTCTGCAGCCTCTAATTTATATCTGATAGGACGAGTGACTCCCTTGCATGTGAAATAAATAGCTTCATGTTTCTTTCCCTTTCCCTCATGGTTAGTGGATACTTTAGGAAGAAGAAAAACACGGTTCCTTTGAAAGGCCTATTTTAGAGCTTGGATGATCCTAGAACTAAAAGTGAATCACATTTGTAAATAACACCTTCCTTCCCTTTCCTAGAACCTTTTCTCTCCTTTCCCCCACTATGGCTGCCATTAGGACAGTTAGGAAAACTGTGAGAGAATCAAATTGTACAGATTTATAATTTATATATTTATATATTGTCGGTCCTTTTGGTTGTAACCTTTCTAGTGGTCGTGGTGTGGTATCTCATTGTGGTTTTGTTGTGCATTTCCCTAATGACTTAAATTAACAAGAGCAGCTACTTACTTCATACTTAGCCCACACTTGGCACTAGTATCATGCCCAGAGTTATCTGTGTGTATCTGTTGCTGGCCCTCCTAGCTGAGTGTTCTAAGTGGTATCCATTACTGTCAGTTAGAAAAAAGAGCAACCTTGGGACTGCTCTGTATGGTTATGCAGATTGTGCAATATGTAAAGAGCTCCCTTAAGAGGTAGGCTGGAAATACTGACAAAGTCAGGTTTGGGGTGGAAAGTAGGGTCTCCTTTATTTGATATATTATTTCCAGATTTGCTGATCTCTTGCAAATAAAAGCAATCGATACTAACAAACAAAACGCAGCTATTTTGGGCTCCTCAAAGTAGAGAACTAGACTAGTCTGGATAGCAGTGCACTTAACCCCGTAAATGCCATTTTGTAAGGTCTCCCAGAAGATGGCCAGTCATGGTGATACCTCTGTGCATTGCTGAGCTCTTGTTGAGCTTCTGACATTCAAAATAGCAACTACTCTCTGAATAAAATATTACTTTTCAAAATTTACTTAACTGACATGTGCAATACCCATTCAGTTAAGAAAGTTAATTTTGACTGTCAACTAGTGTTGCCTACCAGATTGCAGATAAGAACATTTCTTTAATGACTGAATACTTAGGTATTTGATGATAATATCTTTAATGAAATGTACTTTTTTCATTTTTAATGTCAAATATTGATTGGTTAGCTATCCTATGCTGTAGTCCCCATGAATACTGGAATAAGATTGGCTTGTGAGGGTCAAACTAAAAAATTGGCATACAGTGAATGGTGTGCAAGATGTGCAAACAGTAAAGAGAAACGGAAAGTTTTGGTTAACACCTAATTTTAGAAAGTAGCATCAAAAAAATCAAAGCCAACTAAAAGTTGGTCAGGAGTATCTCCCATATATACTGTTCAAGGATGGAGGTTCCTTGGCTTACAAACATGAGTGCTTCTGTCCCTGTGAAAAGTATAGCCATGGGATGGATCAGATAATTCTGGCTTGATGCCATCAAAGCCTCCAAATGGGGAAAATAATATTAATAACTATGCAGAGCTTTTTTGAGATTTAAGTGAGATAATTATACAAAGCATCTAGTTCTGTGTTTGACTCAATATCTCAATAACGGTAGCCATTATTCTTTAAGAACTAGCACAACTTCAATAACACCCAGGAATCCTTTCTTGCCCTCCCACATCCACTTGGGAAAAACTCATAATGAACTACAGACCTAATATTGGCATCTCCTTAAACATAAAGAAACATTCCAATCTTCAAAATAATACCTCAGACTCATAAAAAGCTACCCAAATCCCTTCTCCCAAATATTTTATGCTTTTTATATTATCATGGGAAAAATCTCAGTATTCTCAGAATGTTCAGATGTTTTATTGAGATTATTCATCTTAACAGTGACAAAAATTAGACATTCCCTGTTGAATTTCAAAGCCTCAGCAATAAAAAGTTCAAATCCACTTTTATTAACTCAGCATACAAATTTCACAAATTATTCTTAAAGAAAACATCGAGGAAAAAGTTTTACCTGGTTTTGAAGACCCAATTTCAGACTGTCCTAACTGCTTTTTCCTCTTGGCTTCTTCCACTGGATTTTCAAACTGGGTTTTCTGGTTTAGGTGACTGTAAAATATAGAAAAACATGCACTTCAGTTTAAGATTTAAGAGTTACATATTTTTAAACAGATTATCATACCAGTTCATCACCATATATTAAGGGAAAAATATGTATCCTTAGGCTATGGAACACGGAGAAACTGACAGATGATAGTGGAGGGGCTTTTTGGCATTTAAAGAAAGTACCACACATATTAACTGATCAACACATAAGTGCACATATAAGAATAACATCTATTGGATGTTGGGCAGGGGGGAGGAGGGAGGGGAGAGGAGGGGACGGGTATTTGCATACACAGAGTGCAATGCGCACCACCCAAAGGATGGACATATTTGAAACT